AAAAAAAAAAAAAAAAGAAAATGTTAAACATGCGTACACGCTATCGTTGATCATAAAAATGGTAGTTAAGTAAAAATAAAATAAAAGCATAAAAAAAAAAAAACTAAATTCGATGAAATATATTAATCATCACTCATGTTAATCAGTTAATCTATGAAGTTAATATTTGCTTTTCAAAACCAATTCATGGAGTCAATTCTCATGACACAACTATACAAACTCTTGAAAATTAGCGACTCTTTTAGTCAGTGCAGCGAATGAGATTATGAGATTTATGTTTGGTAGACAAATAAGTTACCTTATATATTATTTGATTAGCTTATGAGGTTTATGTATTTAAATAAATTTCGTTTGGCATGACGAATTTTTTTTAAAAGCACAGGCTCATCTCATAATTTTTTTTTTGGTAGTTTTTCAAATAAATTCGTTGAATTTTTATTTCAGCTAGCTTATCAACTAATTTACCATACTTTTATCATATAAGTTATCTTTTTAGCTATAAGTTATAAATTATAAGCTCAAAATTATTTATAAACTATAAGCTAGCTTATTAGTTATCAACTTAAAAAAAAAAAAAAAAAAAAGGTCCTAAAACATGAGATTATTAAGTTAGATTTTATAAAGGACAAAATAATGTATGTCGGTCCATATCAAATGGGCTTGAAAGTTTTATGTATATGGGAACTTCATATACCCATTCCACAAACCAACCTGATCGGTCTAGGTTGGTTCTTCGACACATTTAGAGGTGGTCAGTCAACGGGCTGAGGCCTAGCCCGGCGGGTCATGGGCCCTCCAATACATGACCCTCGATCGGCCCGCTAAAAATCAAGGGCCGGTTCACGAGCAGTTACGACCCTTAAAAAAAAAAATAACAATGTGGCCCATTGTCCGAGCAGCTCGATCCGGCCTGGCCTGGATCGACGAGACCAAAATAAAAAAAATGGAACCGAGACCGAACTGCGACCCTAAGGATCCGGTTCAGGACCGGTTCGGGCTGGGCCAGTGCCGTTTTGGTAGGTTTGCAAATAAATATATATTAAATGTATATATGCAAAATATGTTTAAAAATTTGGCAAATTTTTAAATTGAAATTTAGTTCGTAAATAAAATCAAGTGTCTAAAATGACACAAAAATTGAAATAATATACATTATTTGAGTTTGGAAAATTAGTTATTTTCAATTACAGTATTTAATAAATTAGTAGTATGTATCTTACAAAAAAAAATTGTAAGTATCGTTGTAGAATTTCAATTGAGAATCATCTAACTATTTTGTCAAATATTCTAGATTTTATATTTAGATATAGTTACTAATGATCATTTTCTATTACCATGCTTTAACTTTTTTTTTTTTAAATAATTACATTATTCTTTTTCCATAATATAATATTGTGTATACTACATAATTAGAAGATTTTATCTAAAATGACAGATAATTAGCAGCAATATATCAAGCCTAACAAGATACTTTTATGTTGAAATATTTTTATTTTTTTACTAATTAATTAATTAGAATGAAATAATTGTTCCATCAACTTACAAATCAAAGTCAAAATAGTTAGGCTAATTTATCAAACTCTAAAAATATTAAATCACTATTTTAAACGATTTTTGACTATTTAGGATTTAATATTTATTAAATAGTGATTATGACTAATTAATCACTATTTTATAAATATTAAATCCTAAAATAGTCATAATCAGTAACTAATTTATCAAATAAGATGATATTCTTATTACATATATATTAATTTTTTTTTCTATTTTTTTTTCTTATAATCATTGAGGTTTTCATTTAGATGATATTATGTGTTTCTATTGTGTAACTCAGGATCTTGATCGATTTTAAATGATTTTGACAATGGCCCCTCAATACCCCATACTTCTTAAGAATGAAAACTCTCCTATATATAATTCCAGAATAGCTGAGCCTATGTGGCTGCTTCTGGTGCTTCGAAATCTTATTTGGCGAAAAATCATGCTTCGTAATTAGGTTTGGACAAATAATATTGATATATTAATAATTAATAATCTAGGTTCGGACATTCCATATATATTATTTAGCTAACTTAGGTATTTTAATATCACTTATACTAATATAACCTTTTAATTCTATGTAATTTTACATAGTGAGGCATTAAGAGCATGATTGGATACAAAAATTTCTCAAAAAAATCCAAACATTTTTAACTCAACCACTTTTTTAACTCAACTTTAACTCAACCCACTATCATCAATATTATCAATATAATTAAATAATATCAATCAATCATTATTACACACAACATCAACCTTAATTCACTATTCATCTACTCACATAAATTTAACTAACTATCACATCACATTTTCTCTCTCTTACTTTTACATCAATTGAATTTTAATTATTTTATTTTAAATATTATTTTATTATATCCACTAACAACTAACCATACATACTTTTTCAAATTTAACCCTGACTTTTGATTTGTTTCATTCAATTAGCTATTGAATTATAAATGTATTTTAAAAGTTATAACTTTTGTATTTCTTATCGGTTTTACATATATAATATATCAAATTAATCATCATTTTATGATCTTCGATTTGACATCCATATTGTATATATAAAATAAATAAATTATATTTATCTTTATAATAATAGAAAATAATAATATTTATTAAAATTTATTAGAAAAATAGAATTATTTCCCAGTTGATATATTTATGTTTAATATAGTTATATGTTGTAAGTTAAAAAAATTGTTATAATATAACACAAGTGAGTCGCACAAATAAAAAGTGTATAAATTTTCAACTACTTTTTCTTATTAATTTTAGATTTTAAGGAAAAAATTAGCAAGCACTCGAGTAATACACGGGCGTTGTACTAGTTAAAAATTTAAAATATAAATAGCTATGGTACATTAACATTAGCTATTAAGCGATTTAGCTTTATTATAAACACAAAACAGACAAAACTTGAACTATAGTACTCTTTAACTTCCATGTGTTCACCTTTTCAATTATGGTTCTAGATTCAGGGAGATTCTACGGTCCTATTACGGAACAACTCCATCGAAGTTTGTAACCGTTAGATCAACTATCCATGACGGTTACATGATGATCTAACGGTTAAAAATTCCGACAGAATGGTTCCGCAACGAAATTGTAGCATTTCTCATAGATTCATACCTCAACATTCTTGTCATGAATATACTCAGTGATACATCAACTCCAAATACAAAGACTTCTTTCATTTATGCATGAACTCGACAAAACATGCAAGTTCTTCACAAAAAAACCACATTACCTTTCAAAAATTTATCAGAGGGAAGGATGAATGGGAGGAGATCAATTCTTGCACGGATTTCAGAGTTTCGTGAGGATCAAACGAGGCATCGACTTTGAGTACACCCTCGGATTCATCAATATGTAATAAATCTAACTGAGACTGCAAGAGTTCAGGAGGCATGAAATGATTTCCCTGCGTTGCTCGTTTTTCCAACCGGGCCACAAGAACCTCAGGCCCAACATTCAACAAAACGAATTTTACGGCATCAGATGAGTACGAGCCCGGAGAATAATCCGAATCCCCACATCTGAGTATTTCTCTGTAATGCTTTTGCAATGCGGAGCATCCAAGGATCACGATTTCACCTTTTGCTAAGCTTGCTTTTAGGGCGTCACGTAGAGTTTCAAGCCAGGGAATTCGGTCCTCGTCCGACAGAGGGATCCGGGCTCTCATCTTGTCTGTTTTTTTCGAAGAGGGAAAATAATCGATTTACATAAATATATAAGGCAGAAAATGACTATAAAGCATTATTGAACTTCCCTATTGAACACTGTCTCAACTTTGATTTATTTTCATCTTCTATTTGCAGACACCAACACTGTCAATTCTATGATTTCAAAGAACTTTTACTTTTGATTCAATGCAGTGAGTTTCTCTTTTTCTTTTCTTTTTTTTTTTTCTCCTTTTTCTTTTTATTCGATAGTTGAAATGTGAATGACACGTAATCTGCTACCTTTATTCGACTGTGGGTGGAAATCATCGGCATCAAGAAAACACCCATTTAGCACTTTTGCCAACATTCCTCCTATTGTTCTGCAAGGGAAAGTTCAAACTTGAGAAAATGCAATTAGCTAACACTCGATTAAGCAGTTAAAAAATTCAACCACGATTTCGTAAAACGATAGCCTCACGTTTTTCCGGAACCACTGACACCCATAAGCACTATAGCTAATCCTGTGAGATGATAACAACATAAGCACTATGAGGCAAGTGTGATGACATAAACTTCAGTTGTTTTAGGCAAGAGGAGAAATAAATGAGATTAGAAAAGTTACGTGACCTTTATCGTGCTCCATCTGAAATTTTAAATAAAAAGATGAGTCGAAAAATTACATTCCAAAAGCCAATGGGGGAAACAAGGACATTCAGATCAGAGGAACTGGTTGGGAACCCTGCGAGTGAACGAAAATAAGATCGAAAAAAATAATGGGAACACTAATTTTGTAATGGGCCCTTCCTGAAAGTGAAAACGGAAAGGGTGTTACTTATGTAGCCAAACAAGGTTTTGTTGACATTTTATACAACATATAATGTATTTATGTTATTCTTCGGTTCGGTAATGTCATAATGTATGACTATTATCTGACAATTATCAGGAAATGGTTGAAGTCATGAAGTCAAACCTTATGTTTCTCGAAAAGAAAGATAAATGGTTAAAAGGATCTTCCCGGTATGAATGATACACATTAGTTAAATCCCAGCATGTCCATATAGATAAGTAGAATTTTGTTGTGGAAAATTGAGCAACAATAAGAAGTCGACTAAATAAAGGCAACCGACTGCAGAGGAGGTAGACGAGAAATGGCGTTAGATTCTAGACAAGCCTATGACATTGTTATTGAACATCAAGACAATAACTATTTTGTCTCCCAAGTTGATCTTGAAAACTATTCATGGAATTCATCTTGATTAGCGGCTAAGAATAAACAAAGCCACTCGTAACCTATTACGATCACCACTTTGTAAAAACTCATTTTGCGAGGCTCGTAAAAAGAAATGAACCGCATCCAACCTTAGCTGGATTCAACCCATTGTTCATAAGCTCCAAAACCAGCTCATATAGAATTTGACTTCAGTTTTAACTATTATAAGTTTGCATACAGTTATATGGAACTATTTCTTTAAATAGACATATTTATCGATAAACTTGTAGCGTTTTCATAAATATATTTCGAATTTTAGAACTACAGGATATTAATTTTGTGATATATACTAAACTGACAAACATACTATGGCATTTTCAATAGATGTGCATACTTTCAAACCGAAATGCCGCACGCACACACAGACGTATGACTCTTCATAGCACAAGAATTTGTGTAGCACCGAAGCTAGTAAAATCAATCAGCTCAAACAAGCTCACGGACAATTGAAAGATCATTCCATTAACTGGGTTCGATTGCCTGATATAAATGACACACAAGCTCATCAAATTTGGTCTAAACTCAAATGAAACCAAGCAAATGAGGTACTTGGCCATCATTTAAGGTTAAATACAAATAACCGGGACAAAAAGCATCCTAACTTCTGGTGTTCGTAATACCTCGAGCAAGAAAAAACCAGGAATAAAGCAATAAATTTGCTCAAGAAATAAGCAGTCCTATCGTTAATACCAAATAATATGCTTAAACTGATATTAATCATATTCGAAACAAATCTCGATTTGAACAGGAGAGATGAAGAAAATAGCAGCACGATCGTATAATAATATTCAGAACAGGATTCTCGTCCGAACGGTAAGCGAATATTAAAGACAAAATACCTGGGTAAAATTTTCAAGGAACTAAGAAATCGGATGGTTCACTCTCCGCGAGATGGTTACCCGGCGCCGGCTCTGGCTCCGGCGAATGTTAATTAAAATTACGCAATTTGACGGAATGGTTCGGTTTGTTAGATTATCCACACATAACTTACCTTTTTTATCCAATAGTGAGAAATAATGACTGTACCGTCGACTTTAGCATTTATCTATATTATATACAATTTCAAAAATTACCCAATTCTAGCAAAAAAAAAAAAAAAAAGTGTGACCAAAATTTAATTTTTTATTTTTTAAATAGTTAAATACTGATTTGATTATTTCACCGTTGACCGATGACTTACGTCGCCTTATCTGATCAACGTCTGCCGACTACAAGCCAATGTTGGTTCATGATCAACGCCTCTAATCAATCATTGAAAAATATTAAAAAATCTTAGCCACACATAGACGTGGCCACGAGCAGCCCAGCCCGCCGTCTCGGCACGGACAAACCCGTTCACCACGGGTCCGAGTCCGAATAGGATTTCCGACGGGCCGTTTCAGGTTCATTATTTCATGACCCTCGTCCGGCTGGTCGGGCCGGGTCTGGACCGATGACCCATTTTTTTATTTTTCCGCTGACAAAAGCGAGAATGTCGTCCGCATAAAGCAAGTATGCTGGGATGTCTTGGTTTCAGAAGATGGAATGTCTAATGTTTTTTCACCCAGAGAATTAATTGGATTGTTACGAGCGGAACAGACAGGGTGCATTGAAACGAACTGATATACCAAGTTTTGCTAAATGAATTAGAAATACGAGCATAGATCCGTGCCGGTTCAGGATTCATGAAATGCAACCCAGAGGCCCGGTGGGCCAAGCCGGGTCGTGACCCGGCCTGCTGGGTCTTGGCCATGTCTACCTCC